TGACACAAGACCGAATGCCCTTCCAGCCAGGAAGTCAACTCGCGTGGATGCGGGGTCTGGACCCCGGGTGCTGAAGTCCTGCACCGTCCAGATCTCGATGTGAGTGAGGGCCCAGATTGGCCAGAAACTGTATTCCTCCCGCCCTGAATGCTGTCCGGGTACCTGCACACAACAAGTGAATGTATCCGACCATAGGCCTGGGCGCGGTACCTTTGACTCTACAGTTGACTTTGATTGTTGAATTTCCTTTGTGCCGCGTTCGGTCACACAGCCTCCTCGACAGACTGAGTGCAATGTCTCGGTCACATAGCCCAGCATTGACAACTGAGTGCAATGACTTGCTGATTTCTGCTGCCGAGATTGTCTGCGTGGCTGTACACTAACTGGTAGGGTTAGTTTGGCTGAGGGCTAACCGAGAGATCCGCCTGTGTGGAAATTCGTGAGGGACAGATCTGTAATTTTTGGAAAAATACAGACCTGGTACTAACCGAGTTCCTATAGCTACCCTAACTGCCTATAGCAGGCCCGGGCTACCCCTAGGGGAGACAGGCCCTAAGTGGCCTATACTGCTATACGGTCCTATAGCCTAGCCGGGTACGGTAGAGGCCGGGAGGCCGAAACAGCAACGGTACCGGTAGGTCCAGTCAGTCCGGTCTAGGTTTAGGCTAGTGTAGGAAGTCTATAAGTCCGGTAGGGAAATCGAGGAGGGACTTTTAGCTTTCCATTTTTCGCGTGCAGCGTTGGTGGCCAACCAAGTTAGCAGCGCTGAATGTCTACAGCGGCACCTGCGACATCAGCGGAGTGAGGCAGCCATAGCCAGCCTACCTGAGACAGCCATAGCTGGGGCTGTGCTCAGCACATCTATCCCCAGGGGATATCTGCGTTAGGCAGGACTACTGGAGGGTCCTCACTGAGTATATGTGGGTACTGCTGCTGCGGTAGCAGTGAGGCAGCCGTAGCTGCCTTCTTCATCGTCAGAGTGACTTATCGGCACTGGAGACTACTTCGCTGTTCATGATCTGCATCTGGGTGTGTGGCGCTGGCCTCTGGGAGGCTGTTTCTGTGCAGCGCTAGACTCTGAGAGTGTAGTAGTGAGTGGAGTGTGTGGTTCTTGAGTGGCGAGATACTGGGTTGAACTCTGTTACGGTAATTGAGGTTAACTGTGTTGAGTTGGCTCATCATCTGGGTTACTTTCCAATTCTGATCTTCGCAGTGTCATCTTGTGATTGGTTGTTGGGAGTTCATCAGAGAGAGAGAACACTGTGTGTATTCTCCCCATCTGTGCATGGTTGTTATTCCGCTGTTTATCTCTGGTCTGTGTGCAGGTGGACTCTGTCTCTTCCTCCCCTGTGTCTCATGCATGTATGGGCGTGTGTGAGTTCTTCTGCGTGTGAGTGGCAACCAAATTGTCAAACAACCAAGTTCATAACATGAGTCTGTGTTTTTACCGGGGGCGAAGTTCTGAGCCCGGTCTGCTGCTGAACAGGGTTACTGCACTAACTGCCCCTAACTTTTTTTTTTTTTTTTTTTTTTTTTTTTCACCGCCCCTAATTGTCCTTAACTGTCCCCAACTATTCCAAACCTCCTGGACGTCACAGGATTGACGTGGTAGTCAGTGTTAGTCCCCAGGCCGCCCGGCAGGGGGAAGGTCGCCCGGGTACCCTCTTGGGCGGCCCGGGCCGGGCAGGGACTGGGTAGGGTCCTGGGCAATCACAGCGCATAATATTAAAAAAATAGAGAATACAAAAAATTCAAAAAAATCCGAAGAAAAAATGTTGCGTAAAATTGCAATCTCAAAATTCCTTGTTAATTATAAGATAAAAAAAAAAAGAAGAAAAAACATGAGTCCAAATGTACCCTTTTAACCCCTTTAGTCACTGTTTATACCCCCCAACCCCCGCTGGATGACCCATCACCAAAACCGAAGTCAAAACCGGATTCTGACTGCTTAGGCCAAGTGCAGTCCTGGCCTGAAGTCTTGTTTTTTTTGGGGGGGGGGGGATCCTTGCCTCTATTTGGACCCAACTGGTTTTGCCAGGCGACCCCCAATCTGCCCAACTGTCCCGGGTGTGCCAGACCGGCCGACGGCCCAACATAGATTATTATCTTCTTTTTTTTTTTTGAGATGTGGCAGCTGCTGCAGCTACTGCTGCAAAAGCAACAGTTGTTACATCTCGTCGCTCTGATACTGCTATGGATGCATCTGGCGCTACAGCGGCCTATGCAACCTGTGAGCATCTGCAAATACAGCAACCCTCGGTCTGTCGCACACACATACACTGTCACACATACAGCAACCCTCGGTCTGTCGCTCACAAATACACATGCACACACACACACACATACACACACGCACACACAAATATTACGTACACAGGGTTACACAGATATGAAAATAGTCTGAAAATTTGAAAAACAGAAAATAAAAAAATGAAGACATATAAAATTCACCCTTGCGAGAAAAAATGTTTGCGTCATGGGAAAGCAAGAAGTTTGGAATATGAGAAAAGCCTCACGCTTGAGCAAAAATACAAAGCCCGCAAAGCTACAAGACTCACATCGGGTATAGCACGGTTACCCGATCGGAACCTCTACCCGCCCGTACCCACCCCTTTTTTTTTTTCGCCACCCGTACCTGCCCATACCCGTCTATTATTTTTTCTGGCCGCCCATACGGTCTCATACCCGTTTTTTTTTTTTTTGGTACCCCTACCCCTACCTGCCCCAACCCACCCATGATCTCCAAAAAAGGCAACTGTGCCCGCCCTAACAACCACCACCTTTTGTTTGTGCCTACCCATACCCAACTCCCCCTTCGGAAGGGGTACCCATACCCACCCGTAACCTGGGGGTTACAGTTGGGTACGGCCGGGTACGGGTAACGGTTACCCGTTTGCGCTGACCACCCAGTGCAGCCGAGGGTACGTTGTATTTCTTTTTGGTGGACGGGTTAAAAATATAAAGCTTCCGCCTACCACACCCAGAGGGGGTTACCTGGGTGTGTGTGCAGAATTCCAATTACCTCTGGTGATCTTTTAACTCTCATTTCCAACCTTGAAAAATTCAAAAAAGAAAATCAGGGATGTTGTTGCTAGGTTACTCCCCATCAGGGAAAAAAAATAAAAACCAGAAATGCTTTGTGCCATGAAAACATATTCACGTCAAACTGAATGCATTTTGAATCAAGTTGCTGTGACCTGGTAGGAGTGACGTTTCAGGCTGGATAGGCCCCGGGCGTTGTTTAATTCTCTTCTCCCCAGGTTCGTTAACATATGCACCTCACAACAAGGAGGTTCCGGGATGTCTTTTTTGAGTCGAGGTTTGATCACTTGCTGTGTTTAGAACTACACACTACTATCACGTCCTGGTAGCATGCATATGTCCTAGGGATGAGCATTTTGCTGGTATCTTGATCTGATCGCGAGCTTGCTTTCTAATGGTCCCCCGTTCCTCCATCCCATTTCCTCGTGGATTCTCAATCAATTTCTATAATGTTATTGGAATCCGTCATCAACAATTTGTCATGTTGCCCCTTAGCCTGCGACCCAGCTGGATGGCATGTCAGGCAGGCATCCTGTGAGCAGATGTGAGCAATCACATGTCTGAAGAATGCCACGTGTCTTCTCCCGAACTACACTGCACCCTCATCATGACTGCATTGGACTGGGAAGATAGCTTGTATACATTCGTGACTGAGCTTTCTATTTGCAAGGAGCTAATTGATAAAGTTCAAATATTTCTCCTAATACTCCTTTTAGAATAGCACGAGGAACAATTAAATCTAATAAACCGTGATGGAATAAGGATTCTGCAACTCATCATGACTGCATTGGACTGGGAAGATAGCTTGTATACATTCGTGATCAGGATGTGCTGTGTTCGGGCAAAGATTATAGTGGAACTGTGGAAGGCAATAGTTGGCCAGTTGCTGTGTACTACCAGGATTAGGAAAAAGAACACGATTCATGCGATAGCCAAACTGCACATGTACTCGATACGGACACGGTATGTCATCAATACAAATGATCGAATAAAAATAGAACGCTCAAGCCTGCTAACTGCCAGAACATCTGAGTGCAGAATCTTTTCTCTTTCCTAATCCTCCTTTTTTCTTTCAAGCCACCACTACCTCGGAGCCTCTTTTGCCGAGGACAAGAAAAACTGTGTGACAAGCTTTGCCAAAGTGCCGACGTCACTTTTCCTTTTTTGTTTTGGCTGGTGCAGCCCGGCCACTTTAATCCGGGGGCGCCTGACCTACACAGGATCCGGTGGCATCTGGCCTCCAAAGAATGCACCGAATTTTGCCAAAGCGCCAGCGTCTCGTTACTTCAAGTTTGCCTGTGAAAGGTAGTGGCGGTACCAAAAGGCGACGGCCTTAATGATCACTGAACTAATCGACCCCAGGTTATTCAGAATGATTTTGTTATGTTCACTGATTGCATCTGGATTCGAAGTTGGGTCTGTATTACAACAGTTCATTGAGTGTATCAACTGAGCTAGGTCCGTTGGTATCTGAGTGCAGAATCTAATCTGGGATTGTTGGAAGAAGTCTTGTTTCAGTGCTGTTTTGTCAGGGGACAAGTGGGCACATCATCTGTTTGCAGGCCTTAACCATTCTGAAGCCAAAAGATCCCACACCTGTTTCTTTTTTCTTTTTTTTGTGTGTGTGTGGGGGGGGAAGGAATCTATATGTATGCGTGTCACGAGCCATGCTAATCTTCTCTGCATCATTCCAATTTTTATGGATGTGGAAGGATCCCTCGTCCTAAACGGGGGGGGGGGGAGAGGAATCTATATGTATGCGTGTCACGACCCATGCTAATCTTCTCTGCATCATTCCAATTTTTATGGATGTGGAAGGATCCCTCGTCCTAAACTTGTTTCTGCACTTCTTAGTAGTTTTTGCCTTTTGCTGCAATGTTTCCCGATTTCTGAAATGACGATTATGTTCATTTGTAGACACACCGTTGTTCTCAGTATAATGTGCTGTTTGTGCTCAGGAATTTGGCGAATCTCCAGCTTTCAGGATTCATTGCGCCAGAGATTGGATTTCTTTCTCAGCTTTCCTGGGTGTAAGTGCTCCTTTGAACTCTCTTCTCTTCCTTTTGTGTGGACACTATGCTCTTCAGATCATACAAGCTTGTAGGGTGAATGACTATTTTTTCAGAGGGTGGCAGCCTTGAGATATAATCATCTGCTTCCAGTGGAGTTGGAACTCAGGTCAACAGTTCAGGGGTGTTCCAACTGAGCTAAGGTGGTTGGTAATGGCTGTTTTTTTTTTAATTGGGAAGTTTCGTTTATTTTTTGATGGGTCACTTCTGCTTTGGCGTTTGTCACAGAACTGTATAGTTCATGTACAGTTCTGTGACTTTGACTGGTCGATCTTCAAAGGGAGTGATACAAATGGCTGTGTTCTCATTTGGCTGTGATCTGCAATGATAACACTATTGGCTCTGACTTGGTGCTCTCTAACTGATGGTTCGCTGTTGATGTAATTGCTGTGCAGGTATCTTGGGAACAATAATCTCACAGGGTCGATCCCAGGCGAATTGGGGCAGCCTTTGTCCATACGGCACCTGTATGATACATCTCCCTCTCTTCCCTATTAGACAGTTCTGCTCATTGTTTCAGAGTTCTTTTCCTTTTCTGTGTGCAAGTCTGGACAGCAGGAGATGAAAGTGCTGCACAAGGGCCATATTGGTGTGGTGTGGTGATGGAGTTGGGAAATAAACTGATTCTAGGCCATGGCAATGAGGACAAACATGTCAGTGTTGGGGCAGGTTTTTGAACCTCTATTTCCTATTTGACATAAATAATTATAATGATATGTTATAATATACATATATTATATAACATGATATAATACGATCTAATATAATATGCAAGGAAGATGAGCAATAGCGAACTTCAGCAATCAAACAGCATCATATACACAAGACCAGATAGTCGTGACCTCGAACCAACAGCAGAATTGCATCACAAGATTCACCAAATAAGAAGACACCAAGAGCTCGTAATTGACAATGCTGAAATAGTCCCCTCATCATCATCAACGAAGAACCAATGCTGATATCCTATCTGGCGCTCGGCGCCCAGACTACAGATGGCAGATCCTATCTAGCCTAGACTACAATGCCGAAGATGACGTCAACAGCTTTCCCGAAGTACGAGCATACAGCGAGCAGTGGTGCACGCTTCCAGCACCAGGTATGTCTCTCGCCTCACTCACCACCTCGTTCCCCAACACACAGATGCCACTTGCACCCAAGGACCACCCTGCGCCACACCCAGTTTACAGCAGCGCAGCTCGGCTATGGCTCCCTGCTCCTTCCTGCTCGCCCGTGAGCGCGTGAGTGCCAGCGAGCTTCAGCGCAGCAGCGCTTGCGAAGCATGCAGCCAGCACCCGAATGCCCAATGTGGAGGCAGGCCCTTTGCTATATCGAAGTGGCCTGCCTGCTTTCAGTCCCAGGAAGCTTCCAGTAGGCCCCGGTAGCCTGAGGCCCAACACGTTAGAGGACAGGCCTTGGGCCTGAGGTGGTTGCATGCACCCAACTGCCTTTGGCATGTGTTTGGCCCAGTACCCGTATCCAGCCCAGGGCCTGCGTTCCATACATTCACACAGGCGGCCCAGGGCCTGGGTTTTCTCAACCAACTGGCGCTGCGCAACTGCCTGAATTTCCTTAGTTGCGCAGTGGTCACAATAGGGCCCTGAGGGCCTCGTCTAGCCTGCCTTCACTTAGGGAAGCCGACTTGCTCCAAAAAGGGGCCGAATGGGTGGCCTCGCATTCCCTCCTCTTAAGCTTCAACAGTCCTTTGAGAAGCTCAGTCTTCGACCATCGGGCGCTTTCCTTTCTGCAGAGATTTCTTGTAATGAGCTACAACTTGAGGAGCGGTCTGCATAAGTTCTTCCCTGGTGAACCAGCGGTCCTCCTTAGAATCAGTATGATGTCGGAACCGAACGTGGTACTGCAGCTTCGGTTTCGGAGGACGTCCCCTGCCTGTTGGTCTTGGAACTGGCAGCTCTCTGTGGTCCACGATATCATCGATATCTACCTCTCCATGGTTGGGGGCAGCATTGAGCGACGAGATGGAAACTGATCTGTTTCTTTGAAAGGTGCAAGTTTGGAAGCGTGAAAGACAGGTTAAGTACGGAGATGACCAGGGATCCGGATTACATAAGATGGCCCATCTGGATCAGTTCCGACAATATCTAAGACTTCCCCTGGCCCAAACTGCTGTGGCATGAGTTTGCGGGAAATCCCGTACTCCTGTCCCAGTTCTGAGGACTTTACCCAGACTCTGTCCCCAACCTGAAACGTAGAAGGTCGGCGGTGTCCCAGTCCACCTGGTTGGGCTTGATGTATTGCCTCAACAGGTGTTGTACAGCGCGATTCAGTTGATTGGCATGACCGTTGGCCTCTGGGTGATTCCCAGAAGTCATCTGCAACTGGGTTCCCTGCTCTGCAGCAGCGGCCTTTCACAATTCGCTAGTGAAGCGGACATCTCTGTCGCTCGCTATGGATTTGGGCAATCCAAAATCCCTGACCCAGTTCTCTTTGAACAATCTGATTACATACTCGGTCTTCGCAGTCTCCGGCATGGCCATTAATCTAGCATACTTACTAAATCTATCCACAATGACGAAAATGTGTCTCATCCCACTCTTGCTGGTTACCAGCGTATCCATGAAGTCCATGGACAAACTCTCAGCAGGCCTTTCCGGAATCGGAAGGGGCTTCAGGAGCCCAAGAGGAGTCTGAGTATGTGGCTTGTCTCTCTGACAGACCTGATAAGTCTCCACGTACAGTTGGGCATCTCTCATCATTGTGGGCCACCAGAACCGCTGCAGCAGGTTAGCTGCGGTCTTCTTGTACCCAAAATGGCCGGTGGCATCATGACACTCCCCTAAAAATAAACAATGCAAAGACTCCCTATTAGGCACACACAAACGTTTATTCCCTGCCTTCTCAAGGAACAGCAGGCCGTTGACCAACTCAAACTCGGCAGAAGTCCCTTTGTCCTTTGCCTCGAGTCTGCGTATGATCTCGACCATAAATGGGTCCTCGCGATAGACTTCCACCAAAGACTAAGTAACATTGTCTGCAAGATTGAACTCGGTAATCAGCGCACTTGAGAAATCAGGTCTACGCTCAATGACTTCGATCCAACGCTTGAAAGCTTCAGAGAGTACTGGCTGAGTTCTCATACATCTCAGGGTCTGATGATCAGTCCTGAGGATGAAGAACCTCCCAAGGAGGTAGTGCCTCCAATGGGTCAGAGCCTTGTAAACCGCATAGAGTTCCTTCTCATAGGTGGACTTAGCCAACTTCTGAGATGGCATTTTCTTGGACATGTATTCAACTGGCCTCAACTTTTTCCCCTCCTGTTGTCCAAGTACGGCTCCTATGCCGTATTGGCTAGCATCCGTAGTTACTATAAATGGCTTGCCAGGATCAGGAAGTTTCAAGACCTCGTAATGCGTCAACGCATGCTTCAGATGTTTGAAAGCAGCCTCACATCTCTGAGTCCACTCCCATGGGGTGTCAAGGCGGGTCAAATCAGTCAAAGGGGCGGCAACTATGCTATAGTTCTTCACGAAATTGCGATAGTAGCCGGTCATCCCTAAGAAAGATCTCATCTCAGTCACAGACTGAGGACGCGGCCAGTCACGAATGCTGGCCACCTTCGCGTCATCGAGCTTCAATCCCTCCGCAAAAATCTCATGACCCAAGTACAAGACACGGGTGCGGCGAAACTCGCACTTCTCACCGTTGATCTTGAACTTGTGTTGTCGCAGAAGTCGCAGGACTTTGTTCAAGTTCGCAACGTGCTCCTCGACAGTCTTACTAAAAATAAGTATGCCATCGAGGTACACGATGACAAACTTGTCCAAGTAGTCATGAAAAATCGGATTCATAGCGTGTTGAAAGGTGCAGGAGCATTGCAAAGACCGAAAGGAATCACAAAAAACTCGTACAGACCGTACCTGGTCTGGAATGCGGTTTTGTGGTGATCCTCAGGTCGGATTGCAATCTGATGGTACCCGGACTTCAAATCTATCTTACTGAAGTACCGACACCCTTGCACTCTATATAACAAATCGTTGATGCGCGGTAGGGGCTCTCTGTTCTTGAAAGTGATGGCATTGAGGCCCCTATAGTCAATGCACATTCTAAGTGTTCCCTCCTTCTTCTTAGGTACGAATAGTACTGGAGACCCATAAGGAGAGACACTCAGCCGGATCCAAACCTTCTCTACGAGTTCCTTGAGTTGCCGGCGAAACTCATCGAGCTCGCCTGGAGACATCCGATATATCCTACCCTTCGGATGCTAGACCTTGGGATAATCTCTATCGCGTGGACGACCTCCCTCTCTACAACCCCTGTCGGCTCTTCAAATAGATCAGGGTACTTGGCAACTACTCTCTCCTATTTTGCTTATAATAATTATAGAACGCGGCTCGCTAGCAGCAGAGACATAAACTAGATACATACCCTCCTATTTTGCTTATAATAATTATAGAACGCGGTCGCACACATGCATCCCTGGGACTCAATCAGACTACTAGCTTTGAACTTACGCAATTTGGCGGTCCCTCCACTTTTTGGTCCTAGTCAAACTGGGGTTGTGCCACAGAGAGGTAGTACATACCTAGCAACATGTCCATGGGGAGATCATCGCTCACTAGGAACGAGACACGATGTCTCAGTTCCCCTCCCGCGTACGGGAACCAACACTCAACATCCTGGAGGTAGTCGTTGACTACCATTCGCTGTTTGTTGGCACAGGTCGACTCCACAGGTCAACTCAGGCGCTGCACTTGCCCCTGTAAGCGCAGCCTCTCAACGCACGCGCGACTGATAAAGTTCCTAGTTGAGCAAGTGTCATAATAGGCGCCGGCCTTGCGGCCGCTAATGACCACCTCGCTGACGAACATCTCACCCTTTGGAGCTTTGACCAATGCCGTCCAAGAAGCTAGCGGGTCTGGTCTAGACCACTCCTCCTCTAGCTCCTCTAAGGACTCGAACACATTCATCAAACAGAGGCTCGATTGGTCTGAACGTGTTTGCGGGACGACTATGGAGTCAGTAGCTTGGGCCATCTCTCGAGATGGTGAGGGTTTCTCCACCACCTCGACCCTAGGAGGAACAACTACTATTCCTACTGGCCCGACGTGTTTCCCGGAGCAGTGCCAGAAGTACTAGCTACATTGCTACCAACGGGATGGGAGGATTCCAACGCCTGCCGTATTGTAGGCGGGATCTTATGAGTCACCTTCTTGTTGCGGCACTTGAATTGGTTATGGCCATATTGACGACAACGAATACAGACCTGCTGTGTATACCGATCTCTCCACACATCCCCTGTGAGACCCGCCTTCTCCCATGGGGGAGTGTTGGGGTCAACTTGACTCCTTGACCGGGAACCTCCCCGACGTCTACCGGTCGCCTTACCTTTTTGAACTACGGCAGCGACTACTCCACACCCTGAAGCTTCTACGCTGCTAGCCTCTGAACCTACTCCCTCTTGGAAGTTGTCGTCTAATTCGATGGTTGAACCATCGTTATCGACAATAAT